GAGAGGGGCATTTTTAAATTAGCAGAATAGATTGTAGAAGCTGAATTTATGCTGTGATGGTGATCTTTTGCAGTGGTTTTGTCAATTTTGTGATGAATTGTACTGAGAATTTTTTTAAAAAAGCACAACAAATTGAGTTCTGCTTTGTTTTAAACAAATACTTTTCGTATGTATAATATTGGTACGCTTTTTTTTAACCCCTAGAAAACCAGATTTTCTTTCTAAAACTGAGATTAGATTAGAAAAAAGTGGACTTGCATTGATAGTGCATCACTCTCAATCTGAGTGTCCCAAAGCCTTTCACAGTCGGCAAAATACATCTCAGAATATAGTCACTGTCGTAAGGCAAAAAACACAGACCATTTACATGTAGTAAGGTCCCATAAATGCATTCTGATAATTAATCAGTTTGCTTTAATGATGCTGGGTATAGGATAAAAGTGGTTTAAAATATTAATTATCAGAAACATTTATACTTTAATATTTCTAACTGTTAATCAACTTTGAATAAATCCAATTTTCACATTTTATTTCTACTTTTATTCTTTAATAAAGAAACTTGTTTGGATCTTTTCATCCTAACCCTAGCAATAATCAAATATATTTGGCCTTATCAGTAACTGGGTAGAAGGTTTAAATTTATGTTGTAACAAGTAGACCATTAGATTGTGTACTGCAGGTGGCAATGTTATCTGAGCATCTGATATGAGCAATCTAAACTTGGAAGAGGGAAGGAGAGATCTGGAAGAATTTTGAGTATTCTGAAACATCTCCTTAAATGTCTAAAGTGTGTCTCTGTTGATTTGTCACCCTGCCGAGTATGGCAGTTCACTTCAGCTAGCTCAGCTTTCCACCTAAGTGGATGCACTTTATTTAATTTTAAAATGCTTGCCTTAGACCCAAAATTCTATCTTGAAAACTGGATGTAAAATTCAATTGTATTGTGGTTGCTGTAACCTAGGGTTGCCTTTAGTCTGAGACCTTAAATTAACCCTGTCACACTTAAAATACACATTATTTCTAAAAGAAACTTCATACAAAAGCTTTCCGTGAGCTCCTCATCCAGACCCTTTTTGCCAGTCTGATTTTTTTGTTTCGTGGTTTATATGTGGATTGAAATCACTCATGATTATTGCCATCCCTTTATCGCACGCACCCAATATTTCTTCTCATACTTTACCAACTTGATTGGAATTTTTTGAGGAGGTGACAAAGGTGATCAATGAAGGTAGAGCAGTGGATATTGTTTACATGGATTTTAGTGAGGCTTTTGACAAGGTCCCTCATGGTAGGCTCATCCAGAAGATTAAGATGCAGGAGATCCGTGGTGACTTGGCCACATGGATTCAGAATTGACTTGCCCATAGAAGACAGAGGGTAATAGCGGAAGAGTGTTTTTCAGGCTGGAGCTTTGTGACTACTGGTGTTTTGCAGGTGTCCATGCTGGGACGTCTGCTGTTTGTGATATATAGATATGATTTGGATGAAAATGTAAATAGGTGGGTTAGTAAGTTTGCAGATGATGCAGAGATCAGTGGAGGAGTGGATAGTGTAGAAAGTTGTCAAAGGATACAGCAGGATATAGATCATTTGCAGATATGGGTGGAGAAATGGCAGATGGAGTTTAATCCAGGTAGGTGTGAGGTGTTGTACTTTTGGGAGATTAACTGTATACTTTTCCTTAACATTGAATGTCAGGACCCTGAACAGCATTGATGTACAGAGGGATCTCAGGGTTCAAGTCCATAGCTCCCTGAAAGTGGCCGTGCAAGTAGATTGGGTGGTAAAGTAGGTGTGTGGCATACTTGCCTTTATTGGTCAGGGAATTGAGAACAAGAGGCAGGATGTCATGTTGCAGCTTTAGAAGACTTTCTTGAGGCCACACGTAGTGTATTGCGTTCAGTTCCGGTTGCCGCATTACAGGAAGGATGTGGAGACTTTAGAGAGGGTGCAGAAGACGTTTACCAGGATGCTGGCTCAATTTTAAACCCACTGCGAAGCCTCTTCTAAGGATGCCTAGCCTGAAGAAGTTACCCTCCTCCCTCCGGACAAACCTCAGGGGATCTCTCTCCCACTGCCTCTATCCATCTTCTATCCGCCTCCCACTCTCTCCCTATTTATTTCAGAACCCCCTTCCCCTTCCCCTTTTCTGATGAAGGGTCTAGGCCCGAAACGTCAGCCTTTCTGCTCCTATGATGCTGCTTGGCCTGCTGTGTTCATCCAGCCCTGCACCTTGTTGTCTCTTTTACCAGGATGCTGCCTGGATTAGAGGGTATAAACTATATAGAGAGGCTGGGACAACTCGAGTTGTTTTCTCTGGAATGGCGGAGGGGAGACTTGATAGAAGTCTGTAAAATGATGAGATGTGTAGATAAGATTGACAGTCAACCTTTTTCCCCAGAGTTGAAATGTCTAATACTAGGCGGTATGCATTTAATGTGAAAGGGGGAAAATTCAAAAGAGATATGAGGGGCAAGTTTTTTACAGAGTGGTAGGAGTGTGGAACATGCTGCTGGGGATGATGGTCAAGGTAGGTACGATAAGGGCATTTAAGGCACTTTTAGATAAGCACGTGAATATGCAAGGAATGGAAAGAATTGGACCAAGGACAAGCAGAAGGGATTAATTCAATTTGGTGTCATGTTCAGCACAACATCGCGGGCCAAGGGCCTGGTTCCTGTGCTTTACAGTTCTATGTTGTATATACTTTGTCCAGCATTATGGTTACTGTTAAGAGATTTGTAGACTAGTGACTTTTCACCACCTATTCCTCATCTTGGCACAAACCGATTCTACATCCTGTCTCCTCAATTGAGGCATTTCTAACTATTGATCAATGTTATCCATGATTAATAATGTTTAGAACCATCTTATAGTGTGATGTTTATGCACTGTCCACAATGTGACCTGATATCATTGCAAGTGATGTTATCAGCTATGCTAAAGATAGCTTCTTTCGTTGAACTGTAGTTGCAGTTCAATCACCCAAACGTATTCCTCTACACTTACTGAAATACTTATTGCTGTTACAGAACAAGGTGGCATAGAAGCAGAATCAGCAGGGGCTAATCAAAAGGGTCGGGTGCAACTGTGTTTCTTAATTCCTGTGAAAACTGTCTTGGCTATTACTAGGCTGACCACTTTTAAGGCTCTGGTCAGTGGTGATACTGAAGCCATCAAAGGTGACAGTGTCCTCAAAACTACTCCCACTACCCTTCACTGCATAATCCCTTGTCCTTGTTTCTCCTCTTCTTTGCACTGCATCTGTTTACTTTCTGGTACCTGGCAGGTGCAGCCTGGTCAGGCATTGGATGAGCCAAAAAGAGGTGATGAAGACGCTGCATTGTTAACTAATTTTATTCACAGTGCCACTGGCTGTCATATTGATAGATCAGACATTATCTGCATTTGGGACATTGAGTCAAGATAATGAGATGCCAGCTCATTGGATGAACTGCAGTCATGTGTTGAGAGAGTGCAATCTGCAGCTGAGCCTTCTAGATCCAAAATTGTTTGTTTGTCATTCTCTAAGACTATCTACAGTCTTTGTTACTGAAAAATCGGTTGCTTCTCACGCCTGCCTCTGCTCTCATCCCCCTCTGTCATCTTAACCCACCATGACTCCCACCATGAATTTCCAACATCCCCTTCAAGCTATCCCTCTACCTCTGTTTTTTTTCATCAGCTTCTACCTCTGGTGTGTTCATCCTCCAGTCATGTTCCATTCCAAGGGCCATGCCTATCCGTGCTCCTATATCTGGGAGCAACTGATTTATTCAGAAACCTTGAAGTCAGTGAAATACTTTCCTTCATGCCTGCTGTGTCCCTCCTTGTAGATTTTTAAAATAATAATGGAAAATACCTAAAATGTGTGCAATTGTAGTCATTATCAGAGGAAATGTACCTGAAAATATGGTGTAATTACTTTTTCTGTCAAATGGGCATAATGTGTAATTGGCTATCTGAATTAAGAGGCTCAATAATATCCCTTTTGTAATATAGGATGGAAAATTGAGATATTAACGTAACTCCAGCTCCATAAAGGTTCTTTTCTATGGTCACCTTCACAGTCGCTATTAATTCAGTTTTTGCGGCCTTGAGATTTACCATTGTTGTAGATTTTGGTGAGGATATCCTTACTGTAGCAGAGTCATACTGCAAAGGCCTGGTCCTGAAGGTTCAAGGAGATTTGGCCCTTAAATATCTTGGATAGATCTAAGCTCCTGAGGGTCCTTCTTTCCACCCAAACTTATAACAGCAAGTCTTCCTCTGCAGGGCTTCTGCTCATTCTCCAAGCCATGCTATAATCCATGGGAAAAGCCTATCTGGAAGCAACTAGTTTGCTCAGAACCTTTTGAGGTCAGCAGAAATGTCTTGCATTATTCTCTGTCAATTTTTTGCAATCAGAAGCAGCAACACATTGAAAGTTTTATACTGAGGTGTGATGACCCTCTGCTCAAACCACTACCAGTCATCTCTCTCTAGGACTATAACATCTTTACCTTTTTATAGTATAAGCTAAAAGAAGTCAACCAACTACTGAAGTTAAGGGGTTCCTTCCTTTTGTACATTGATATATTGTATTGTATGTATTTGTAATTGGCATTCACCTTGTGTGCAAATGTCCTCAATATTATGGCATTTGGTACAGTTTTCCAGATAGCTCTTTGAGTGTATCATTGGTGTTTGATAGATGTCTTGAAGTATTTGTAATACTCTCAAAACAGTGCCAATGAGTCAAATTTGTTACCCATACAGTGCTGATTTGGAAAGCACTCTTTTCTCAGAAAAACTTAAACAATAAAAATGGCATTTATTTTCAATTATCACAAAAATACTGACCAAATAAATAACTTTCTTTAACTTGGTACTGTATAATTTTTTGTTCTCAACATTTTTTTTAATGGCAAGATGTCTTTGTCGAATTGTGTAAACAGAATAAAATTCTTAACTCTGTCATTTTTAAATGTTTTGTAATTTGTTTTTTTTTAATCTTTAAGATGATGAGTAAAAGTCGTGCGCGTCTGCCACAAATTACTGCTGGAGAAAGCACCTTGGAGGATATCATGGCCAGAGCCTATGACTGTTTTGATATCCAGCTGAGTAGTGTTCAACTTCTCTATGCTAAACCACGTATGTATCTACTTAAATATTTAAAATTTGTGAATCTACTGCTAGGTACTTAATGGCCTTTCTGTTAATATAACCAATGAGTTGAAGTTTAATAATGGTATTTTGAGTGACAGTAAATATTGACTACAGGAAAAGCTCAGCGGATCTGGCAGTATCTGTAAAGCGGAATCAGTGTTAACATTTCGGGTCCAGTGACCATTCCTCAGAAGATTCTGAAGAAGGGTCACCGGACCCAAAACACTCATTTTGCTTTCTGTTCACAGTGGCTGCCATATCCGCTGAGCTTTTCCAGCAACTTCTGTTTTAGTTTCTGATATACAGCATCCCCTGTTCTTTCAGTTTTTAATAAATATTGACTGTTTAAATAAGCAATGTAGCTTTTTGTTGATTAAAAAATAAGCTTGAAATTTTGATTTTGGTGTTGAAAAGCTAATTCCCATATTTTGATAGTTATGGAAAGTAAATTGTTTTGAAGAGGCTTAACTAGCTTTGGTATTTTGATTTAGATGAGGATTGGAAAACAGCTCGCAAAGAAAAGAAATCATCTCAGCACATATTGCAACCCATGGATTTAAAGCTCGAGTTATGCAGAGCAATGGTTGTCTCTGATCCAAGAATGCCAAAGTAAGTTTGTATGTATTCAGATGGACAATAGTTGAGGCTTAAATGTTTAAAGTACATTTAACTAAAATGTTTAGGAATAGTGCTATGACAGTTTAGAGGAATAAAATCAAGAATTGATGTATTATTGCATTTTGATATATTAAACAACATCAGTATTGTTAATGCTCAGCATCTTTGAACAAAAAAACAGTACAGCACAGGAACGTACCCTTCAGCCATCCAAGCTTGCACCAACACATTTTGCCATTCCCTACTAAAACTGTCTTCAATTACAGGATCTGTATCCCTCTATTCCCTTCCTTTTCATCTATTCATCCAGGTGCTGCTTAAATGCTGCTATTGTGTCTGCTTCCACCACCTCCTCTGGGAGTGCATTCCAGGCACTCATCACCCTTTATGTGAAAAACTTGCCTCATACATCTCTTTTAAATTTACTCCCCCCGCCTCCCCCCCCCCCCCCACCCTCCAAACCTTGAATTGTGTCCCCTAGTAATTGACCTCTCCCACCCTGAGAAAAAGTCTCATACTTGCCGCTGTATCCATGCTATTCACAATCTTTTAAACTTCTTTCAGGTTGTCCCTCAACCTCTTGTATTCAGTGAAAACAAACTCGGTCTATCTAACCTTTCTTCATAGCTAAAATCTCCCTTTTATCAGGATGGTGCCTGGAAACTTTTCTGTACCCTCTCCAAAGCATCCACATCCTTCTGGTAGTATGGTGACCAGCATTGTATGCACTATTCTAAGTGTGGCTTAACTAAAGTTCTATAAAGCTACAGCATAACTTGCCTATCCTTATACTCAAAGCCCCTTCCAATGAAGGCAAGCATGCCATAGGCCTTTTTTACTACCTTATCTACCTGCACTGCCACCTTCAGAGGTCTCTGGACCTGCACACCCAGATCCCTCTGCATATCAATATTCCTAAGGGTTCTGCCATTCACCAGATAATTTCCACCTATACTTGACCTTCCAAAGTGCATCACCACATTTGTCTGGATTAAACTCCGTCTGTCATTTTTCTGTCCATGCATCCAACTGATCTATGTCCTGCTATACCCTCTGACAATCCTCCTCACTATCTTCAACTCCTCCAATCTTTGTATCATCTGCAAACTTACTAATTAGACCAGCCACGTTTTCCTCCCAAATCATTTATGTAGACCACGAACATCAGAGGTCCCAGCACTGATCCCTTTGGAACATCACTAGTCACAACCCTCTATTCTGAAAAGCATCGTTCCACCTCTGCCCTCTGTCTCCCTTAATTACCCAGTTCTGTATCCATCTTGCAAGCTCATCCCTGATACCATGTGACTTCACCTTTTGTACCAGTCTGCCATGAGATACCTAGTCAAAGGCTTTACTGAAGTCTATGTAGACAACATCAAATGCTTTTCCCTCATCACTCATCTTCACCACCACCTCAAAAAAACTCAATCAAATTAGCGAAGCACAACCTCCCCTGTACAATAATGCTGCCTATCACTAATAAGTCCATTTGCTTCTAAATGCATATAGATCTTGTCTCTGAGAAACTTTTCCAATAACTTCCCCACCAATGACGTGAGGCTCACAGGCCCATAATTTGCTGGATTATCCCTGCCACCCTGTTTAAAAAAATGGGACACCATTGGCTATTCTGTAGGCCTCTGGGACCTCACCTGTGGCCAAAGAGGATACAAAGATGTCTGTCAGTACTCTAGCAATTTGTTCTCTTGCCTCCCTTAATATTCTGGGATAGATCCCATCAGGATCTAGGGACTTATCTATCTTAATGCCTTTTAAAACGCACAATACTTCTTCCTTTTTAACAGCAACTTGGCTTAGAAATTCAACACTCCCTTCCCCGAGATCATCCTCCACCAGTTCCTTCTCTTTGGTGAAACCTCGTCCAACTCTCCTGGCTCCACGCATAGATTCCTCCTTTGTCATGGAATGGGCCAACCCTTTCCCTGCTAGCCTCTTGATTTTTATATATGTACTAAAAGCCTTGGGATTCTCCTTAATCCTGTTTGCTAACGACTTTTCATGACCCCTTTTTAGCCCTTCTCATTACTTGTTTATGTTCTTTCTTACTTTCCTTATATACCTCAAGGACTTTGTCAGTTCCCATCTTCCTCAACCTTATGTATGCTTCCTTTTTCTCTTTGACCAAGGTTGTAACATCCCTGGTCATCCAAGGTTCACATAACTTGCCATACCTATCCTTCATTCTTGTAAGAACGTGTCGCTGCCACTTGAAATACTCTCACATGTCCTAAGTGAATTTACCCTCAAACAGCCACTTTCAATCAATATTGTCCAGTTCCTGCCTAATATTGTTGTAGCTCACCTTCCCCCAATTTAATATGTTGACCTGAGGATTGCTGTTATCCTTATCCATGCGTATCTTAATTATGGTATTATGGTCACTACTCCCGAAATGCTTCCCCACTGAAACTTCTCTCTCACGGTTGGGCTCATTTCCCAAAATCAGATCCAGTATGACCCCTTCCCTCATTGGACTGTTTATATACTGTGTCAAGAAACCCTCCTGAATGGTCCCTACAAACTCTGCCCCATCCAACCCCCAGCACGAAGTGAGCCCCAGTGAACATAGGGGAAGTTAAAATCACCCAACCTAAACAATCATGCTGTTTTTGCATCTTTCCAAAACCTGTTGACATATTCTTTCCTCTATCTCCTGCTGGCTGTTGGGAGGCCTGTAGTATACTCCCAACGTTGTGATTTCATCTTTCCTATTCCTCTGTTCCACTCATATATTGCCCCTCTATGTGAGTCGTCTGATGTATCCTCCCTGAGTACAGCTGTGAGATACTCTTTTACCAGTATTGCAACTCGCCTACCCCTTTTACATCCCCTTCTATCACACTTGAAAAGTTTAAATCCTGGGACATGTCAGCTGCCTGTCTGTCTTTCACCTAAGTCTCCTGTAATTGCAATAATGCCATAGTTCCCAATTACTAACTAAAGCTCTAAGTTCATCTACCCTGCCTATTATACTTCTCGCACTGAAACACGTGTATTTCAGATCATCTCCTCTGCTGTTTTCAGCACCGTTTCCCTGCCTTTTGTTGTTCTTAGTTACGTTTGTCTTGGTTTCTACTTCTCCCTCCATTTCTGCATTTACTGCCCCTACTCCTCTGATTCCCATACCCCTGCCACACTAGTTTAAACCCTCTTCAACCACTCAACCAAGCAACCCACCAACACCAAACTAGCTTGTGGCACTGATAGTAATCCTGAGAAGTACCTTTTCAGTTCTTGTATTTCAACTTTCTTCCTAGTTCTTTATATTTTGCTTTTAGGACTTCATCACCTTTTTTTTTGACCTATGACATTAGTACCAATATGCACTACAATCACTGGCTGTTCGCCCTCCCCCCTCCATAATGTCCTGCAACAGCTCCAAGGCATCCAGGACCCTAGCACTAGGGAGGGAACACAATTCTGGACCTTCGTTTGTAGCCACACAAAAGCCCTATCTATTTCCCTCATGATAGAAATTCTATGGTTATAGAGGATTCAATGCCTATTTCTCCCTCCCTCTGCCGCAGAGCCAACCATGGTGCCATGAACTTGGCTGCTGCTGTTAGCCCCTGTGAGACCATTCCCTTCAACATTATCCAAAATGGTACATCTGTTTTTGCAGGAGCCCTCCTGCTCTGCTGGTGATCACCCATTCCCTTCCTGCCTGTAGAGTCTGAGCCTGTGGTGTGACTACCTGTCTCTACATGCTATGCACAATATTCCCCGCTTTCCGAATACTCCACAGTGTCCCCAGATGCTGCTCTGACTCCAAAATTCGGGCTTCCAGGAAGTGCAGCTGGAGACACTTCTTGCACACATGCAGGTCCTGGGCACAGAAAATGTGCCCAGCTTCCCACATCAAGCGAGAGGAGCAGGCTATGATTTGGAGCTCTCCTGCAATGTCTTACCTCTTTAACTTAATTAATCCTTACAATGTCAAACACTTTTAATACTGAATTGAAGCTGCTGGTGCTCTCTGCTCTGATAATAATTTCTGAAAACTTACCTGCTACTCACCAGCAAAGGTTTCCAGAAGCTATTTAGGCTTGCGCTCCTTTACCTGCTGGAACTCACTGCTGACCTTCCTCTCACAATGTTCTGTCTACTCTCCTCTGATGTGAAAGTACCAGTATTGGATTGTGGTGGACAAAGTCAGAAGTCACATGACACCAGGTTATAGTCCAAGTTGATTTGAAATCCCTCTCCTCTGAACCTTGCGTCTCCTATTTCTTTTGGTTGGAGAAGGAAGGAGAGATGGAAACAGTAATGTAATGTTTGGGGCTGACCATTCCTTAACACCAGGTTTTTTCAAGATGATGCCCTTCATACGCGCACTGATTGCGAAGTTCACTCCCAGAATTAAACGAGCAACGTCACAGCACCCTGTGGCCAGAGTTGGGGAATTGGGTTAGGGGCAGCTGCTGGAGGCATCAGGAATGGTGTGGGAGTGCCAAGTGTTGTCAGTGACAGAGAGAGAGACAGCCAAAGTTCAAGAATGTGTATCAGCCATTTTGACTTTGAAAAATGGAAGTGTGAAGATGGCATGAAAAGGAGAGGCAAAACAAAGCCAGGGACAGACTCATCCCATTGTGTGTCCATTACAGATAAGCTGCTCATTAAAAAGGTTGCAGAACTTGAAGCGAACCTTCCCAGCACACACACATTGGATTTCCCTGATGCAAACAAACTTTATTCCTTCCAGCTGAATGTCTTGCCAGAGATAGTAGGAACTGCAGATGCTGGAGAATCTGAGACAACAAGGTGCAGGGCTGGATGAACACAGCAGGCCAAGCAGCATCATAGGAGCAGAGAGGCTGACGTTTCGGGCCTAGACCCTTCATCAGAAAAGGGTCTAGGCCCTTGCCACCCTGGTTACACACTTCATCTGGCATGTTTCAGTTTGAAACAGATGTTCCAGAAGCCTACAACATGGTGCCTCCCAAAGTTCTTTGAAAATTATGAATTTT